AGGAATGGGTACACTTGAGAATTATGATTTCACGCGACTAAGGAATGGGTACACTTGAGAATTAGGATTTCACGCGACTAAGGAATGGGTACACTTGAGAATGAGGATTTCACGCGACTAAGGAATGGGTACACTTGAGAATTAGGATTTCACGCGACTAAGGAATGGGTACACTTGAGAATTAGGATTTCACGCGACTAAGGAATGGGTACACTTGAGAATTAGGATTTCACGCGACTAAGGAATGGGTACACTTGAGAATTAGGATTTCACGCGACTAAGGAATGGGTACACTTGAGAATCAGGATTTCACGCGACTAAGGAATGGGTACACTTGAGAATGAGGATTTCACGCGACTAAGGAATGGGTACACTTGAGAATGAGGATTTCACGCGACTAAGGAATGGGTACACTTGAGAATTAGGATTTCACGCGACTAAGGAATGGGTACACTTGAGAATTAGGATTTCACGCGACTAAGGAATGGGTACACTTGAGAATTAGGATTTCACGCGACTAAGGAATGGGTACACTTGAGAATTAGGATTTCACGCGACTAAGGAATGGGTACACTTGAGAATTAGGATTTCACGCGACTAAGGAATGGGTACACTTGAGAATTAGGATTTCACGCGACTAAGGAATGGGTACACTTGAGAATTAGGATTTCACGCGACTAAGGAATGGGTACACTTGAGAATTAGGATTTCACGCGACTAAGGAATGGGTACACTTGAGAATTAGGATTTCACGCGACTAAGGAATGGGTACACTTGAGAATTAGGATTTCACGCGACTAAGGAATGGGTACACTTGAGAATTAGGATTTCACGCGACTAAGGAATGGGTACACTTGAGAATTAGGATTTCACGCGACTAAGGAATGGGTCCACTTGAGAATTAGGATTTCACGCGACTAAGGAATGGGTACACTTGAGAATTAGGATTTCACGCGACTAAGGAATGGGTACACTTGAGAATGAGGATTTCACGCGACTAAGGAATGGGTACACTTGAGAATTAGGATTTCACGCGACTAAGGAATGGGTACACTTGAGAATTAGGATTTCACGCGACTAAGGAATGGGTACACTTGAGAATTATGATTTCACGCGACTAAGGAATGGGTACACTTGAGAATTATGATTTCACGCGACTAAGGAATGGGTACACTTGAGAATGAGGATTTCACGCGACTAAGGAATGGGTACACTTGAGAATTAGGATTTCACGCGACTAAGGAATGGGTACACTTGAGAATTAGGATTTCACGCGACTAAGGAATGGGTACACTTGAGAATTAGGATTTCACGCGACTAAGGAATGGGTACACTTGAGAATTAGGATTTCACGCGACTAAGGAATGGGTACACTTGAGAATCAGGATTTCACGCGACTAAGGAATGGGTACACTTGAGAATGAGGATTTCACGCGACTAAGGAATGGGTACACTTGAGAATGAGGATTTCACGCGACTAAGGAATGGGTACACTTGAGAATTAGGATTTCACGCGACTAAGGAATGGGTACACTTGAGAATTAGGATTTCACGCGACTAAGGAATGGGTACACTTGAGAATTAGGATTTCACGCGACTAAGGAATGGGTACACTTGAGAATTAGGATTTCACGCGACTAAGGAATGGGTACACTTGAGAATTAGGATTTCACGCGACTAAGGAATGGGTACACTTGAGAATTAGGATTTCACGCGACTAAGGAATGGGTACACTTGAGAATTAGGATTTCACGCGACTAAGGAATGGGTACACTTGAGAATTAGGATTTCACGCGACTAAGGAATGGGTACACTTGAGAATTAGGATTTCACGCGACTAAGGAATGGGTACACTTGAGAATTAGGATTTCACGCGACTAAGGAATGGGTACACTTGAGAATTAGGATTTCACGCGACTAAGGAATGGGTACACTTGAGAATTAGGATTTCACGCGACTAAGGAATGGGTACACTTGAGAATTAGGATTTCACGCGACTAAGGAATGGGTACACTTGAGAATTAGGATTTCACGCGACTAAGGAATGGGTACACTTGAGAATTAGGATTTCACGCGACTAAAGAATGGGTACACTTGAGAATTAGGATTTCACGCGACTAAGGAATGGGTACACTTGAGAATTAGGATTTCACGCGACTAAGGAATGGGTACACTTGAGAATGAGGATTTCACGCGACTAAGGAATGGGTACACTTGAGAATTAGGATTTCACGTGACTAAGGAATGGGTACACTTGAGAATTAGGATTTCACGCGACTAAGGAATGGGTACACTTGAGAATGAGGATTTCACGCGACTAAGGAATGGGTACACTTGAGAATTAGGATTTCACGCGACTAAGGAATGGGTACACTTGAGAATTAGGATTTCACGCGACTAAGGAATGGGTACACTTGAGAATTAGGATTTCACGCGACTAAGGAATGGGTACACTTGAGAATTAGGATTTCACGCGACTAAGGAATGGGTACACTTGAGAATTAGGATTTCACGCGACTAAGGAATGGGTACACTTGAGAATGAGGATTTCACGCGACTAAGGAATGGGTACACTTGAGAATTAGGATTTCACGCGACTAAGGAATGGGTACACTTGAGAATTAGGATTTCACGCGACTAAGGAATGGGTACACTTGAGAATCAGGATTTCACGCGACTAAGGAATGGGTACACTTGAGAATGAGGATTTCACGCGACTAAGGAATGGGTACACTTGAGAATGAGGATTTCACGCGACTAAGGAATGGGTACACTTGAGAATTAGGATTTCACGCGACTAAGGAATGGGTACACTTGAGAATTAGGATTTCACGCGACTAAGGAATGGGTACACTTGAGAATTAGGATTTCACGCGACTAAGGAATGGGTACACTTGAGAATTAGGATTTCACGCGACTAAGGAATGGGTACACTTGAGAATTAGGATTTCACGCGACTAAGGAATGGGTACACTTGAGAATTAGGATTTCACGCGACTGAGGAATGGGTACACTTGAGAATTAGGATTTCACGCGACTAAGGAATGGGTACACTTGAGAATTAGGATTTCACGCGACTAAGGAATGGGTACACTTGAGAATCAGGATTTCACGCGACTAAGGAATGGGTACACTTGAGAATGAGGATTTCACGCGACTAAGGAATGGGTACACTTGAGAATGAGGATTTCACGCGACTAAGGAATGGGTACACTTGAGAATGAGGATTTCACGCGACTAAGGAATGGGTACAGTTGAGAATTAGGATTTCACGCGACTAAGGAATGGGTACACTTGAGAATTAGGATTTCACGCGACTAAGGAATGGGTACACTTGAGAATGAGGATTTCACGCGACTAAGGAATGGGTACACTTGAGAATTATGATTTCACGCGACTAAGGAATGGGTACACTTGAGAATTAGGATTTCACGCGACTAAGGAATGGGTACACTTGAGAATGAGGATTTCACGCGACTAAGGAATGGGTACACTTGAGAATTAGGATTTCACGCGACTAAGGAATGGGTACACTTGAGAATTAGGATTTCACGCGACTAAGGAATGGGTACACTTGAGAATTAGGATTTCACGCGACTAAGGAATGGGTACACTTGAGAATTAGGATTTCACGCGACTAAGGAATGGGTACACTTGAGAATTAGGATTTCACGCGACTAAGGAATGGGTACACTTGAGAATTAGGATTTCACGCGACTAAGGAATGGGTACACTTGAGAATTAGGATTTCACGCGACTAAGGAATGGGTACACTTGAGAATTAGGATTTCACGCGACTAAGGAATGGGTACACTTGAGAATTAGGATTTCACGCGACTAAGGAATGGGTACACTTGAGAATTAGGATTTCACGCGACTAAGGAATGGGTACACTTGAGAATTAGGATTTCACGCGACTAAGGAATGGGTACACTTGAGAATTAGGATTTCACGCGACTAAGGAATGGGTACACTTGAGAATTAGGATTTCACGCGACTAAGGAATGGGTACACTTGAGAATTAGGATTTCACGCGACTAAAGAATGGGTACACTTGAGAATTAGGATTTCACGCGACTAAGGAATGGGTACACTTGAGAATTAGGATTTCACGCGACTAAGGAATGGGTACACTTGAGAATGAGGATTTCACGCGACTAAGGAATGGGTACACTTGAGAATTAGGATTTCACGCGACTAAGGAATGGGTACACTTGAGAATTAGGATTTCACGCGACTAAGGAATGGGTACACTTGAGAATTAGGATTTCACGCGACTAAGGAATGGGTACACTTGAGAATTAGGATTTCACGCGACTAAGGAATGGGTACACTTGAGAATTAGGATTTCACGCGACTAAGGAATGGGTACACTTGAGAATTAGGATTTCACGCGACTAAGGAATGGGTACACTTGAGAATGAGGATTTCACGCGACTAAGGAATGGGTACACTTGAGAATTAGGATTTCACGCGACTAAGGAATGGGTACACTTGAGAATTAGGATTTCACGCGACTAAGGAATGGGTACACTTGAGAATTAGGATTTCACGCGACTAAGGAATGGGTACACTTGAGAATGAGGATTTCACGCGACTAAGGAATGGGTACACTTGAGAATTAGGATTTCACGCGACTAAGGAATGGGTACACTTGAGAATTAGGATTTCACGCGACTAAGGAATGGGTACACTTGAGAATGAGGATTTCACGCGACTAAGGAATGGGTACACTTGAGAATGAGGATTTCACGCGACTAAGGAATGGGTACACTTGAGAATGAGGATTTCACGCGACTAAGGAATGGAGTGACGGGAGGAGGAGGCAGGGAGTGGGTTGTAGAAGCAAGAGTGAGTGTGTGAGAGGAGGGTACGATGGGGAGACAGTGGAAGGGCGAGGCCTGGGGAGGACGAGGGTGCAAGGATGAGGAGGAAAGGTAAGGTCGAGGGAGCGAGAGGGAGTGGACGATGCAGGGACATAGGGTGGATGGTTGACTCACAGGGCACGAGGCGAGGAATGTTGCGAATGAGAATTGGTTCCCGGAACACAGTGCCTGTAGATGCAAGCAGGAGAAGGGGGATGGACGGGTGACATTGACGTAACTCAAAAGCCACCTCGCGGAATGTTGCGGATGAGAATTGGTTCCCGGAACACAGTGCCTGCAGATGCAAGCAAGAGAGGGGGGACGCATGGGGTAAAAGAGCAGGACTCCGGAACAAAGGGTGAAGATCTAAAACAATGCCACGAAATTTGTGAAGATTTAAAACAATAGTAGCAGAGAAGCAGTGAGAGAGTGGCAATGAGTGTGTTCCAGAACAAAGGGTCGAGTGAGAAAGACAGTGCTAGAACCACCGAGTGAGAAAGACAGAGCTAGAACCATCTTATGGATGGTTAATGAACAAGGTGTGGAGTGACATATGGTGACGGGGTATGAAAGAGATGTAAGAGGATGACGGGTGAGAACAAATGCATGGCTTACAGCCAGTGAGTGAACACACATGCTCACGCATGAACAGACACACTTTAGCATGCGTGTGTGCACGCACACTCGCAAACCCAGGCACGCACGCGCGCACGCACACACACACACACACACAAACACACACAGACACTCACACACACACATACACACGCACGCACACACACACAAGCACACAAGCACACATACACACGCACACACGCACACACATACACACACACACACACATGTGGCAACGTACCCTTCAGTATGTGCACACACGCACACTCGCAAACCCATGCGCGCACGCGCACACACACACACACACACACATACACACGCGCGCGCGCGCACACACACACACACACACACTCACACACAAGCACAGCACACGTGTGGCAACGTACCATTCAGTATGTTTCGAATGGTGCCTGCACAAATGAGAAAGAGCAGTACACACCGCAATGAGGACGAACAAACATGGGAAAGATAGCAGCAGAGAAGCAGTGAGAGACAGCAACAGCGTTAGCGATTGCAACCAGCACATCTCTACAAGCTGCTATTGTGAAGATCTAAAACAATGCCACGAAATTTGTGAATAAGCCCCCGTTTCCTCTTAAGTTTCTACCTTACACGTGGCAGCTCACCATTGGGGCTCTTCCACATGGCCTTGAGTCCGAACTCCCACACCCTCTCCTCGTCTGGATTCAGGGAAGGGGGCACGAAGGGGAGGCGTGACATTCAGGGAGTGGTGAGATGAGAATGGAGCACGATGTGTGCAAGCACAGAAGCAAAACGCACCGTGTTGCACCACGCAAGCCAGTTTGGCGATTAAGCTTGCGACCCACATGCACAAAACCACTCAACCCGCCACTGACCCACCACTGACCCACCCACGACTGATGGCCCTGAGAGTTACGCACCAGGAGTGATTGTTGCACACTTGACTGCCACATTATACCTGTTTGAAACAAAAACAATAGTAAGTATAAGCGCTATGATTTTAGACAAGAGGGAGTATGGAAGATTTAAAATACAGCTGATAAGAAGCCGAGCAGAGGAGCGAGGAGGAGCAAGGGGAAGACGAAAGAAGCCAGAAGAAAACAGAGGGGTCGCCAGGAGTTGAAAAAAGAGACCCTTGTACTGAAATGGATGAGCAAGTAGCTGAGGGGGTTCACTCATTGTGAAAATCCTAGAAAAACACCAACAACAACGAATTCTCTCCTACTCGAAAGTTGCTTGCGCGCTCTGTGAAAATCCTCGGGTTTTGAAAGCGAGAGATTCAAAGGCTTACTCTAGCGTTGCTTGTGCGCTTTCAATCGTGACCTGGTCGTTGGTGGCCTCGCGGTGAGGCAGGCCCAGGTCGAAGTACTTAATGTTGAGGTCGAGGAAGGGGTGGATGAGCTGTTGAACAAAGGGGCAGGACGGGAGGCAGGCAGAAGGGTGGATGGGGCACGAACAGTGTGTGTGAGTGAGGTGCATGGCATGGCAACGGGCAAGGGAAAGCCCAGGTCGAAGTACTTCATGTTGAGATCCAGAGAGGGGTGGATGCGCTGTGGTGCAGGGGAGATAGGCAGGCGGACAGGGGGGCAGGCAGAGGGCATGGACAGTGCGCGGAGCATGGCAACAGGCAAGGGCAGACCCAGATTGAAGTACTTGGTGTTGACACCCAGGAAAGGGTGGATGGCCACGTGATAAAAGTGCTGTTTTGAGACCAAGTCCTTCAATCTGCAGAGAGAGGACCGTACAGGGAAGTACAGGGCAGGCAGGAGGGCAGCAGGAGGAATGGGACAGGGAATGCTGCATGCACGGTATGCTGCAGCACAATCGCCGTTGGAACGAGGGCACGAGACGCGAGTACCTTGACTTTGATCATTGACCAGGTGACCCGTGCCATTGCCATTCCAAAACCAGGGTTTGGTGCATGCAAGCAAGGTATGATGCAAGCAAGGTATGATGCAAGCAAGGTATGATGCAAGCAAGGTATGATGCATGCAAGGTATGATGCAAGCAAGGTATGATGCAAGCAAGGTATGATGCAAGCAAGGTATGATGCATGCAAGGTATGATGCATGCAAGGTATGATGCAAGCAAGGTATGATGCATGCAAGGTATGATGCATGCAAGGTATGATGCAAGCAAGGTATGATGCATGCAAGGTATGATGCAAGCAAGGTATGATGCATGCAAGGTATGATGCAAGCAAGGTATGATGCATGCAAGGTATGATGCATGCAAGGTATGATGCATGCAAGGTATGATGCATGCAAGGTATGATGCATGCAAGGTATGATGCATGCAAGGTATGATGCAAGCAAGGTATGATGCATGCAAGGTATGATGCATGCAAGGTATGATGCAAGCAAGGTATGATGCATGCAAGGTATGATGCATGCAAGGTATGATGCATGCAAGGTATGATGCAAGCAAGGTATGATGCATGCAAGGTATGATGCATGCAAGGTATGATGCAAGCAAGGTATGATGCATGCAAGGTATGATGCATGCAAGGTATGATGCATGCAAGGTATGATGCAAGCAAGGTATGATGCAAGCAAGGTATGATGCATGCAAGGTATGATGCATGCAAGGTATGATGCAAGCAAGGTATGATGCATGCAAGGTATGATGCATGCAAGGTATGATGCATGCACCAATGCCATTAGAAATAGGACACAAGACGCGAGTTCCTTGACTCTGTTAATGGACCAGATGACCCTTGCCATTGTCATTCCAAAACCAGGTTTCGGTGTATGCAAGGCATGGTGCACGTACGAGGGCACAATTGCCACTCGAGCGATGAGGACACGAGGCGCGCGTACGTACCTTCTCCTTGATCATGGACCAGATGACCCGTGCCATTTCATCTCCTGCACAGCGATATCCCAAACATGGTAATAGAAACGTATGACTAACGTTTGCCAGCGTGCGAATGGAAGCAGGAGAAAGACCAACGGAGAGGGAAGGAGGTAGGAGAGCAAGCAAGCAGCAAGCATGTTGAGAGTTAAAGTGGTTCCGAGAATTCCATTGGATTTCGGGCAACCGAAGGGGCGAACAACAGAAAATCCTTACCGTCCATCTCCACGATGGGATTTTCAACGGGAATCTTCTGGAACCCCATGATCGCCTCTCCGCTACCCTCGCCGCCCAGAAACGACTCCAATCTGACCGTTGGGCGATGGGTGCGAGTCTCTGCCTTGACTGGGGTGCTGAGGAAACGTCGACAGGTCGCGGGTTCGAATCGTGGCTCCTGAATTCTGACGCGTAGCAATCCAGTAGCTACTCTGCTGCAGAGATGCCTGAGGTGTGTCATGCGAAGATGACCGAAAATGCACGGCTACTGATTGAAGGTACACTTAGTAGGGATCTCAGCGCACGGTAGTTAATTTGAGAAGCACGACGACCGCATCTTGCGGGGCTCGGGGCTAGTGGAACAACGGTTTAATAAAGAAGGCGAAGGAAGAGCGATAGAAGAAAGCGTCGATTGGTAATCTTCTATCCGGAGGATGAAGCATGCCTGGAGTAGCGTCACAACCACGAGAGTTCCTTGGCCAACCTCCTATAAGCAACCAGCCAAATCGAGTGAAAGTACGGCCTTTTTACTCCAGCTCCAGCATATAAATAATTTCAAACCAGATTAAACATATGTTAAAATAAAATGTTTGAGTCAGTAGATTCTCGTCCCATACGTCACGATCTGCCGTCTGGTACTACAAGCGCCTTTCTATATACCCATAAAAATCCTGCCTTCATTTATAACACAGAAATTCGTTATTATAACCTCTAAGCAGAACTTTCTAATGGTAATATGCAAGACTTTTTAGAACCTCATGCAATCATACCTCAGCCCCAATTTACTAGAAACACCCCAGATTGAAGAACGTGTATTAATACATCTCTTAGCGAAGTCAAAACCTTGGTCGCGTGCTGGATTGCGCTTGTAACGATTGTGTTGTCGCTTCTTGTGTTGGCTCGTGTATAGTTGTGTGGGTGGGTTGTCACGGTGGTTCTTACCGTCTTTTTCCACGGCTGTTCCTTGACTGCTGCTCTTTGGACAGCTCCTTGGTGCCCAATCTTTGAACTTGGTATTCTTGTCGTGCTCAACAGATCCAAGATTCCAGCTGGCAGCTACATATTAGCCAATAGCACAAGAGTCAGCTCCAAATTCGAAGAAGGGATGTCAGCGCAGGATTTCTACTTTAAAGTCGTTTTGTACAGTGTATTGTAAACCAGACAGAAAGTAAAAAAAACATTTACACCCAGAGATCTGTTCTCTTACTGTATATGTAGTGCACTTTCGGAAATAACCAATGACCTGTCACTCACACTCTTAAGTAATTTCTGATGTCCCGAATGTTTTGCTAACAATCGGGTGTGGAAACGAAGTTGCAGCTGGAACAGATATTGTACCCCCTCAGTCACCTCGCTAGCACTTCACATGCAACACTTTTTTCTGTTCAGGCTGCATTCTTGATTTCCAAACCATAGTTGTCGGTCGTGATTCGCACGCAGTTAGAAACTGCGGTCCGATGTGAGTTGTAATCCCAGACCAGAGCCCAGACCAGACTAACCAGCCATTTCCCCCTCCGCTCCCCCTCCCCGCCTCACACTCTCCCCTCGTCAATTCGTGACTTTAGTGACAGTGACCATTCGACCTGCTCCCCTGATCCACTCGCTGCTTTGTGCTTTCCGCTCCGCCATCCGTGTCTCGTCTCATCTCTCCCCTCACAAAATCCCAGACCGCGAAGGATTTTTCTACGCGTCCCACTCATCACATCGCATCCCCCCCGCCCACCTTTCCACGTTTTTGTTCCCCAAAAGGTTCCCCTCCACTCCCCATAGTACAAAAGCATCATCGGGATAACCAGTTACTCATCTCACTCGACCATTTCGCGACTTTCATTTCCGTCGCTCTCCCCCACAAAAGCCGAGCTCCGCGCGCACGTGGAGCTACAGCAGCAGAGAGCCATCTCGTCAAATCATCGGTTCGCATCATCCCATAGTACCGCAGCATTATTATTATTTTCTTAATTGAATCTTAAAGAAACGCATGTAATGGCGGATTGTATCTTTCCATCAGCGCGTACATCAGCCGAGCTCTTCGAAGCCTTTTCCTTCACCGGCGTCGTCGGAGAGGGTCAATTCGGCCGCGTTTGGCGCTGCGTCGATCGTGCAACGGGCGCTCCTCTAGCCTGCAAACAGATCCGCAAGGCGCACCTCACGCAAAACGAGCTCGAGTCGCTCGAACGCGAGATTTCCGCCATGGAATCCCTCCACGGCCACCGCCACGTGCTCCCCCTCCTCGGTCTGTATGAAGACCAGAAATCCGTATACATTCTGACGGAATTGTGCGACGGAGGGGATATTTTCAGCCTCATCGTGCAGACTGGCGGGATTCCCGAACGAGCGGCTGCGATGATCTTCGCGCAGGTCGCCGACGCCGTGAGATGGTGCCACGTGCACAGAATCGCGCATCGCGACATCAAACCCGAGAACGTTCTCATCACCACCATCGCTACCGGCGGCGCCCCAGACTCGCCCGACACGCTCGAAGCGCGCCTTGCAGATTTCGGCCTCGCGATGGAGATCCCGACGGGCTTCTCTCTTCGCGGCGCCGTCGGCAGCGCTCCGTACGAGGCGCCGGAAGTTTTGGCGGGGGATCTCTACAGCTTCGGCGCGGACGTGTGGTCGCTCGGCGTGCTTCTATACGCAACCATCTCTGCTAAATGGCCCTCTTTTCCCAGAAACGTGCGCAAGTTTTTGCCCGAAGTCGACTTTTCTGTCGCGCCCTGGCCTTCCGTGTCGGTTGAGGCGAAAGATCTCATCCGTCGGATGCTGACTTTGGACTCGAGCCAACGGTTGGATATAGACAGCGTGTTGGCGCACCCGTGGCTCCGGATCGCATCAGCTCGTAGCGAGACAAGAAAAGCGCCGCGCGATTTAAAATCATCGCACCAACCCAGCGCTCCCATAGTAGCGCCGATTTTTCCGCCCACAGAAGCTCCAAAACTCGATTTCGGACCCGAGACCGCGGCGCCTCATCCGCATTCGCCCAAACTCGATTCTCGCCCCGAGTCGTCCAAAGCGCGCCGAAACGGCCGCTCTTCTCAGTCCGCGGCTGACGTGGACTATTCAGAGGCGACGCGCATCGCGGGTAATTCCAAAGCGAGCGGCTCGGGGGTTCCGAGGCACGCCAGCTTCGACGAATGGAGTGAGTGCGGCGCGGAAGGTGGGCGCGCGGAGGCTGGTTGCGCGAAGGCTGGTTGCGCGGACCTCTCCGAGCCCGTCCTTCGCGCGGCGGAAGCTGACCAGCGCAGTGCGGAAGCAGCAAGTTGCGGTGCCGCATCTGCCGCAATTACGTGCTGGGCGACTTCGCCGCGTCGACCGTGGTCGCAGCGATCCCCGACATCGGGTTCTCCATCAGACGAGACGCGCCGCGACCCGTCCCGCAGCAGCGGCGGCGGCGGCAGCGGAAGCCGTACCAACAGCAGTAACAGCAGCAGTAGCAGCAGCAGCAGCGTCAGGCCGGTGAGGTTAAAGCGGGAGGTTCCGCTCGGCAACAAAGAGCGATCTCACACCCCTTCTGCAGCCGTCTCCCGTCTCTCTCCCAAAGCTCCGTCGCCCAGGCGGCAATTCCGCCAGTCCGCCTCTTCTCAGTCGCTCTGCTCCGAGGGACTGCCGCTCCAGCCTACCAAACTGCCTCCATTCCACCGCGCATCACCATCGCCCCTCTCTTGCCCGCCGCAAGGCATCCCCCTTCAGCCGTCCACCCCCAAGGCGTTTCCTTCGTTCCCTCAGGCATCACCAGCAGCCGCATCGCCATCGCCCCGCTCTTGCCCCCTGCAGGGGATTCCTCTTCAGCCGTCCACCCCCCGGACCCCCAAGGCCTCTCCGTCTCCTCGCGGCAAGACGCGCACGGGAGCTACTGCTGCCCTCCCCAAGGGTCCCTCGGCTCATGGGTCGGCATCAGATGTCTCGTCTGCAAAGCCCGCTGGGAAGCCAAAAGCGACGAGGAGCCTGGCAAAGCGCGGCAACGCCTCTTGGAATGAAAGAACCCTGCCCAGCAGCAGCAGCACCAGCAGTGGCAGCGGTAGCAGTGGCACTGGCAGTCGCAGCAACAGCGGCGGGAGAGTCAGAGCCTGGCATCGGCGATCGGTCTCGGATGTTGCTCACTCTCCTGCTGCAGACTTTGCAGTCCCGGGACTTCCTACAACCTTGAATCTCCCCTTACCAGACCTCTATGTTTCTGAGCATCCAGGGCAACATGCGTCTGGCTGCCCACCCTGCTCTCGCCCTCCTCGCATCGCCATTCCGACCAGCCCAGCAATGAGCGACTCGTACTATGATGATGCGGATGAGAGCGAATGCGAGCTCACTCCTACCTTCTGCCCTCAGCCTGCTCCCGAGTTCCCCATTTCTTCGGCAAGTTCATCTGCCCGTGAACTTCCCCAACAGGCTGGCTCTCCTAATAACAGTGTTGCAAAATCCAGGCCCAAGCTGCCGTTGATGCCAGCTGTCACCTCCTCGTGCTCGCGCTATGTTAGGAACCTTTTTACGCCCGCGTCTGTTACCATGGCATCTGGGCCGTGGCAATAGCATAGGCGTCTTATCGTACGTATGCGAAATGTTTGATATGAATGATTTAATTGATGTTTTTGCAGACAACCTTTGTCTCTGGACATGCTAGTACAAACAATCCGTGTTTATACTTGGTTTATACCAGAGTGCATGCCTGCAGTGCCTAACAAGTAGGCATCACAATGAAAGAGTGATGAAGAGGCATGTGTGTTTATCCCACCTGTTAATATTTCAAAACGAGTGAGGTATAATGTAACAAGGTCGTACCGTGTGATTTGTTGATGTAGATGAGGCTGGAAGTTATGTCAATCAATACGCGACCGAACGTACGGAAATAAAACTTTGCGACCTAATTACACGTCAATAACATTGTGGCAGCGCCAAGACGGACCGAACCACGACGAAAGATGAAACGGAAAACCTCTTGTGTCACAACCAATCCACCGCCTTCCTTCCGTCCCCCCCATCACGTGAGCAGTCAGTGCCTGAACAACCTAGCTATGACGAAAGCTGTAACGGCTTCGGAGTGCGCTGGCTCGCTTTCGTCAAGTGTAGTTGACTCTGGAGGTTGTTTCATGCCAGCGAGGCAAGCTGCAGTTCTGATTGTGCGCCAACCTGTGCATTGCTCCAATCGAACCCACATCAGTACCGTTCCAATTGCTGTACGCCGTCTTCCCTAGTTCCGTGCGTGCTCCCCCCCACACAGGTCCGCCAATGACTGGTAATGGCAAACCTTCACTGAACCCCGTCCTCTCGAGTCGAGACACCCCACCCCACAACCTTCCGCGCGCACATAGCATCTCATCCCATCCCACTCATCCCATCCCATCCCATCCCATCTCATCTCATCCCATCCCATCCCATTCCGTCTTATCCCATCCCATCCCAGTGTACCAGCCCATGCCATCCTTTCCGTGAGCTTTTGCTGTGTCATCTTCCCCGTTCTCGTCGTCTCTGTTTCAAGCGATTCTCCCAACGGAAGAATCTGTATCTTCATCCCAGAATCCTGAACCTTGTTTACCTAGTGCAAACTGTCATTGTTAGGCCACTCTGCACAGAAACATGCATTCATCAGAGGGGTTTCAAAGTTTGCACCTATATAATGTACGTGGAGTTCTGGAGTTCGACGGCTCTGGATTAGGGCGGAAATTGGAGATTCTTTCTTAAAACCCGCAGGCCAAGAAGGCCAAATTTGGTTCATCCTTCCTAGCGTTGGTTGGATGTCCCAAAAATGCCTGTGATCATTCCCGAATTCTAGACCTCGTCCAACATTTCGGACACTCCTATTGGTTCGCAGGCCTTTTGCGTTTTCACTCCCAACCAACCTTCCTAAGGTTGAAATTCTTGGCCTGCGGGTTTTAAATGGCATCACACCTGAATGGGTCCGATCTTTATCGTAAAAATATTTTCCTGAGAAGTACTGGACTTGAATCAGGGTAAAACTCCCCGAAATGACGTCAACCGTGCAATTCCACGACTCTCGTTCAGACTCACCACAGCTGACAACAGTAAGCAGAAATCTTGCACCGACTGGCACAACAGCTTGAACAGATTTTCGTGTGACGCCATACACCTTGTTCTCGATAATTTCACACCCCTTAATTTTACACCGCGCTTCTGTTACTTCGGCAAAGCCTTAGGGCTGCCAAGCTGGCGAAGCGTGGTTGAACATCACTGAATGGAAATGCGAGAATGAGGGCATTTTATACTCCGAGGAGTGGGGTGGAACGGGGTTGCTGGGTTCAACCAATGTCGCGTCTAATTTCGTAGTAAATAACGTAGTTTCATTCTGTGTTTCATTTCACAAAGCTCGAATAAATGAATGTGTGGTAGAAGCACTCCAGTAACTAGCCTGAGGACCCGTGAAGAACGAGGGCTATCTGAAACTTGGTTTCGACTGGGATTTTAGTCGATTCTGACTGGTCCGAATTGAGATAAGCAGCTCGACGTGCTCATCTTTCATTGGGGTTAGAAATTCGGAGAATCAGTCATCTATTTTCAATTCTAGTCCTTGTCAGCACAAAGTCCTCAGTTCGTCAACCTGTTCCTGCATTTCGAAGCCCAGTCAGCACAACAAATTCGCGCCTCGTGTGTGAAATTATTGGGAACTTTTTTTGCCCGTATAATTTCACACCCTCCCAGGCAAACTTTTGCGCGGTTCGGGGTTCGGGGGTGTGAAATTAGCGAGAACAAGGTGTACATGCTCACGTTTCTGTGTGAGGGAGGGGAATGCTGTCTGTCATTGGTGGTTTAGGAATATAGCAGCATGTTCATTACAAAAGCGTCTAGTTGGCTCCATATATAATCATGCATGGCCTCTTGTTTTCTTCGTTCCCTTTGTCTCTAGCGCACTCTGGTGGTAAAATGCCTCCTAAATCTCAAGTCGGACTGCATAGCCTGAGGCAGATCCACCGACCCATTCATTGAATTCTCCCGCTACTGTACCTCGTGCAAACGTTTCACCCCTCCTCCCAACTTCCTCCCCTCCTCACATCTCCCCCTTTTCGCGCTGTGGTTCCACACAGCGTTTTCGTTTCCCGCGAGCCGCACATTGCACCTGCAGTGAAGTATGTACTTCAGAATGCGCTGTCCTTTCAATACCACAGAATTTCAGCCAACACGAACCTTCATTCAAAAGCTCTGGTGTCCTCGATGGAATCATCTGCATTCATCCGATGATACCAGCCCCGTCCTTGGAGCAAACCTCGTCTCTCGTCCTCGCTCCGCGCGGCCGCACCTTACATTCTCCCCATTGACTAATCGTCAAGTTTTTCGCAGACTCAGTGCTCTTTTCCGCTCTTCTGTTATCAGCCATTTTGTTAGCGGAAACCATTCCGCAATGGCGAGGCTCTTCCCGTCAGCGGGTCCCACGGCGGAGCTTTTGAGCTCCTTCACTTTCGACCGGGTTATCGGCCAGGGCCAATTCGGCCGCGTTTGGCGCTGCATGCATATCCAGTCAGGAAGCTGGTTCGCGTGCAAGAAGATCCGCAAATCGCAGCTGTCAGCGCACGACTTGGAGTCGTTAAAGAACGAAGTTGCGAGTATGGAGAGGCTACGCGGGCATCGCCACGTGCTGCAGCTTCTCGCGCTGTTCGAAGACGAAAAAACGGTAACATAGTAACCGATTTATGCGACGCTGGCGATATGTTCGCGCTCGTGAGCCAAGCGAAAGGCCTTCCAGAGCAAGCTACGGCTGTGGTTTTCTCGCAAATCGCGGAGGCCGTGAGATGGTGCCACGTGCACGGCATCGTTCACCGGGATATCAAGCCAGAAAACGTCCTACTCGTTACAAGAACTTCCGATAGTGGGAGAAATCAGATCGAGGCTTGCTTAGGAGACTTCGGCCTCGCGGTACAGATCCCGAAGGCAGGCAGCGCGCCGTACGAAGCACCTGAGGTCGTTGCATCTGACCCGTACAACGTTACAGCTGACGTGTGGTCCCTGGGAGTCCTACTGTACGCCATGCTGTCAGCTAAGCTCCCCTCTTTTCCATCCGATAAGAGAGTTTTGATTCCGGAGGTCGACTTTTCGGTCTCACCGTGGCCGTCCATATCTGAGGAGGCGAAACATCTCATCCGTCGGATGATGACTGTGGATTCAACCCAACGGCCAAATATCCAGGAAGTTCTGCAGCATCCGTGGGTCGCTGGGCGAGTGACAGCAGCGAATCGGAGGCCGACGCGAGTCGTAACACAGCGAAGCGAACCCATCAGAAGACAGCCAATCACGAAAACGAAGCAGGCTGCTGTTTCTGCCATCCCTGCAGCTCATTGGCTGATGTCGCCGGCCCAGAAATTGCAAAAAGGCTCCATGCAAGCACAGCGTGACTCTAAGGGGCGTGCAAGCCCCAGATCCGAGCCCACCCCCAGGAGAAAAACTCTTGATTGGCTCGGTTCCCCCGCTTCTTCCGCCATCCCCGCCACTCCCGACTCCCCCTCCTCCACCCTCTCCCCCCTCTCCCCCGGCTCCCCGTCGTCTCCGCTCTCCCCCTCTGCATCCGACACCTTCCTGATTTCCTCGCCTTCCCTTTCTTCCCCGCACCGCTCGCCCTCTTCCCCGGATCGTCAATCCATGGACCACCCACGTCACCGTCGCCACTACAAGCTGTCCCCCCTCGCTTCGTGAGGCAGCCGAGTCAGCTTAGGGGTCACCCCCTTATCCCCACACCGCGACGCGGTCTACATGTGCTCCATATAAGACTTACCTATTCTTCTGAGAAGCACTAGCTGTCTCTTCCTATTAATAACAGGTAAAGCTCATGCTAAGCATGAGCCGAAGGATCTAGGCCCGCCGTGTTTTTTACTTGGCAGAAGGGCTACTAGGGCATCTAATAGCTCATATATGCAGGCTACACTGCGGACTGTATAGCTTGTGTTAGGATCTAATAGGGTTCATTAATCAACTATTATGAATCTATTTATGTACCAGTAGTGATTTAAGTTTGTATACTAAATCTTGTTTCCTGCATTGTTCACAGTCAAACGCAACCGAGATAGAATGTTTAAATGGAATGTACCGTTACCCTCGTTATGAATGAACACTGTTCTTGTGTAGCAGTGACTGTAACATGCTACCCACTTTGTGAAAAGAGGGCACAGTATTCCAATACCTAGACTTGCATTCCTAACTATTCACACAGTTTTTCCCTCCCCAGCTTGTGATAAGCTTGTCAGCTGGTGCCAGCTGTTTCTTTCGATGCACAGGATTACGTACACTTCAAAAAGTCCCTAAAAAACAAGCAAAACTGGCCAG